AAAATTTTTGAAAATTAAACTGTATATAGATAACACTAACATAAACATTTGGTGAAATTCAAGTATTTAAAGTGATTACTTTTTAAATTACAACCATATAAAAAAATCGATTTGGTCGAAAACTGATTTTGCGTAAAAATTCCCGTTTTTCTGTCATTTTTTTTTGTTTTTCTCGATATTTTTGAAAACTGTGTAAAAATGTTTACTTTTGACCTGTATAATGCACCAAGGATATTCACTTTTACATCGGAAACCACCCCCAAAGTTTGAAATTGAAGCATTATTTCGACTAGTTATGTTGTACACAGACACTTAAACAAAAAAACAAAGAAAAAAAAAACACACATCATTGTAAAATCAATACATTCATCACTTCGTTCAGAATCTACAAAATGTTCAAGCTCACATCTCTAAGTACAATGTACATTTAAACTAATATTATACCTAATAGTTTATATTTTGTACTTTAAATTTTTTCTCAGGCAATGTAAGGTTATATAAACAAAATTAAATGCTGGTTAATACAGAATAGCTTAGAAAATGACAGAACTGTTTTAAATAAAAGTAATATAAATAGATTACTAGGTTAAAAAATACAAATCTTTGTATTTAGATAAGTCGTCTTTCATCTAACAATTAAACATTTTAGTTAGCTTACTTTTTCTTCAAATGGAACAGCAAGATCATCAGAGGAGATAATCTGAATCACGTTTTCATAAGACAAACATAGGAACTCATCACTTTTGACCACTTCTCTGAAAATTATGATCATAATTTATATGATTTATTGACATATCTAAATGATTAGGTGATGTATAATCATACAAAAACTGTTTGTTAATGAATGCGTTAGAACTTGACATCAAATCTGTACAATTATATAAGTCAGCAAATACTTTGATACCAATGCAATTTGAAGGATTCAGTTGTGTTCGTAAAAACTCAGCACATGCACTTTTTACATAATCTAATTGTAAGAGATTTGCAGCTGGTAACAAAACCTTGAGAAATCAATAATAAATAATAATGAATTAACAATGTTGAAAGAAATCTATAACAATATAAATAATCATTCATACCTGTACATTTTCATTTGTAACCAAAATTTCACCAGTATAAATATAATCTACTATTAGTTGTAAGACGTCAGAATTTATCTCTCTCATATTAACCAGATTTTTATTGCTTTCATTAAAAGCACTAAACATTGCACCAAAATATGGGCTAGCTGCTACTAAAACATTCTTATGTCCAAATACTATAGTACCATCATCTGTTTCTAATCTAATATCACATAAAACTTCATTTCTAAAAACAAAAATTGTTACTAATATTAATTTAACAAGCAACTAAAATAACCCTCAACATACTTGCGTAAAGATTGTAAGTCTTCAAGTAATTGAACAGAGTGATAGCTATTTTTAAAATATGTTCGTTCAGATGCATCGAATTTCAGATCTTGTTTAAAATCATTTCTAAATGATGGAGTCTGTGAGATATCCATTTCATCTACTGACATATTTAACATAATATGTATTCACCCTTTGAAAACAAGTTAAAAATGATTATTAATTTTTATATCATGATTGTGTTGAGACTGAATACTTAATTAAAGTTAATTAAGGAGTAAGAAACAATAAAATAACTCCTATAAAATATAATTACTAAACCATTAATCAATATTTATAAGTTATTTTAATTATAAATAATTTTTTTTTTTAGACATTTATTAGAATATATACAATCTGTATAATAGTAGTTACAATAAGCATATGAGCGGAAATGTACAAGTTGACGGTGAAATCGTGAGGGAAGTAGCTACCCAGGAGTAACACTCAACTCAAAAAATAAACAACAAGAAAATTTATTGTTCTTATCTAAATTACGAACAAATTTGACTAGGATTTATAATCAATTAAAATTGGTATTAAATTCAGTAGGTAAATAACAAATATGTAATAATATAAAACTTTGGTACAACTGCTTATCTATAAATTCTAAAAATAGTTTCTTTCCATGAGTTTTAAAACTGTATTAGAAAGATCATCATCATGCTGTTAAAGTTTAGCATTGATACATTGTGTTTTTAGCATTTAAACAACAAAAGTCAAAATGAATTTGATTTACAAAAAACACACAATGCACTCACAATACACGACATTTATGTCAAATCACATACTAATTTTACTGTAGGAAAGCAGACTTATAGTTGCAGTGATCCTGGGATACAAAAGGTGGCTACAAAAARATAGATGGAGGTAGAGTGGTTAAAATTAATTTACAATAGATTTATTATTAATTAAATGATGATTTAATTTAATTTTAAACGTTAGCAGAGTTATGGATTATAGATTTATATGATATGATATACCTATATACATATATATATAATATGATCATAACTATTAAATTTGATCTTTAGGTATTGAAGCAGGGGTACATGGCATTAATTAAGATATGATATAGATTAAATTCCTTTGGCTACTTACATAATAGATTAGATAGGTAAATAAGATATTTTTGAATAGATGATATTCTATCTTCTTCTGGTAAAATTTACATAACATAAAACATGCATTTTACATATTTATAGTTGAAACATACAATAACATGTATTTTATTAAAAATATTGAGATATATGATATATACTAGGTAATCAATATTTACTTCAACATGACTACATAATTTGCAGATATTAAAAACAAATACAGTAGGTGCCTAATTACTGGAAAGTTGCAAAAACAATATGCCAATACATATAAATACTGGTTCGACTAATGAAATTACTAAGTTATAATAATTATAAATAATAAGTATTTAATTATGCTTCTACAATGCACGATACTGCCAAGCACTGTCACATGAGTTTTTATATTTGTTGCAGTCACAAAATTTAGGTATTACAGGTACATTAAAATAATTACCTAACCTGGTATATACCTGTTGTTGTAAGTAGGCGATGAAATGAAAAAATTGACGACAATGATTGCTACTTTTCTTATTATTTGTTAATTTTAATACAGACTATTTTTAATTATGTACACAAATGTTGTTTTGGAAGAATTTAAATAAATAGCAAATAAATTTAAAATACTAACCCGATATCAAATTTACTAATTAATACTTAATCAAATGTATGATATCRTTTTCCAGGAAGATATTTTTCCACAAAATAGATGTCAATGTACATCTTTTAAAAATATATAAAAATGTTATGGACTTTTTATTGTATCATAAAATCAAAAATACAATATTAGCTTAATATTTACATAGTTATATGGTGTATTATAAAATAATTTGAATTTAAAACAGGTAGAATAATAAATATTTTGTATTTTCTTACTTATTTATCGTAGTTTAAAATCAGTAATGATGCCAATTGTGGACGATGGTATTGAATTGCGGATCTGATGATATAATAATTAATGATGTAGGCACCTATAACCATAATAATTGAAATTCATATTTACCAGTTCAATTTATTTCATCACACAGTTCAAATTACAAAATAAATGTTTGACGTCTATGGATGATTCTCGGCGCACATGAACAATTCTAATCTTGAATAGTGATTAACGACTGTGACCATTGCCCAAAATACTACATACAATATTAATAAATTGTCTACACACTATGACTTTGTCACACCGTCACACTACCACAAAATGACAAAATAAAACAATGGCCGAAGACTGCGTATTGTGAATGAGATTGCAACGGTAGCGTGTTGTTATTACTTAACAATAGAACTTTACCGCCGAATTTGCGCGTCGTCGTCKTGCGGGCATTTACGTATTCTATTCTAGACTTGATAACGTGAAATATTAATAAATAAACCGGTGACCACGAACAACTTATATAATAATTATCTCAGATAGACGTTCGTGCTGGTGACTTGTCATCCAGCAATATTTATTTGGTAGGTACAGTCAAGTTTTGGATCACGTGGGATATAATGTCCGCAAGCGCAAATCCAGTTGGAGGGGGGCACTGGTGGCAAGTGTCACCCCCGCTGGAAAAAATAAAAATAAAAATGTTACTATCGAAATCTACGTATCGTCGGAAATGTATAAAAATAAAATGTTTGTAAACACTACGACTATGCGATCATTGTTCTTTATCTAGGCTCGGTGCTCGCCGCTCTGTAGTCGGTAGACAGTAAGTTGAACGTCAGTGCACACGTGCGTTATCGTAATCCCGTTCGTTATACTATGGTTAGTCGTGGTTATACCCATAGAGTAATATAATAATATTACTCTATAGTCTATGGCTATAMCTATATCCGATTGACCGATACGGGCATACGGCGATACACTCGTGTTCCCCGGTCACCGTCRCCGCACGGTGTCGTAAGGCTTGTACGACTGCGTGAGCCGAAAATAATTCCGATAACTCAACGTCAAAACATCGTAACCACGATTTGGCCGTTATTCATGCGCACAAAAAAGAAGATATTGACATAGATACTGTCATTGACAGACTATCGAAAACAAAGAATAGAAAATTAGATTTTATTTCATAAACGTAATAAAAGCATTAATTCGAGTTTCGTCTATGAATAAATTATAAAAGATAAGATAATATTTTATAAGATATACAAATAAATGTAAAAAAACATACATTTTTACCACATAGTTTTTTTTTGTTTTTTTGGTGGGGACTATATCTATATATTATAAAATTTTTCCTATAAAGTGTCCCAACCGTAAATACATGTTGGATTCCCCCTTGAATATCCGTAAACGGCGGGAGAACGATTATGAACCGATGTGATGATATACATTATTTGATGATTTAATATAGGTATAGTAATAAAGTTTCACGAATTACGATATAGGTAGGTATAATAAGCATTATTAATTCAGTTCCTTTGTAATTTCACCAAATTTCCGCTCGTGAGTAGTTTAGTACTCTCATCGTACTAAACTTGTACATTTATTTATTAAATGACGAGGTCCGACGTCTTGTACTTGGACAAGTTTTGGAAATTATAAGTCACTCGGTAGTTTGAATAAAGTACAACTTGTTGTTATAATATAAATATATTTAAATTTAATATTTACTACAAATTAGAAAACAGTTTAGTATTATAATAAATTTGAAGACAGAGGTTACGCTCGTGCGTGAAAACTACGTGCAGTTTAGCTAGTGTGAAATAATTCTAACTTAGATATTAACTAATTACTATATTTATAACTGTATGGCTGTATATGTGCCCGTGGCGTGATCACTGATCTCTAATAAGGAGCCCCGCAACCCACGGGATTAGTTCACTAATGTCTAATAGAGTTGTTTACGTTAAACAAAAATGTTAATCTTGTTGTTTTCCACAAATATGAATTTGTAACAACCAAATTAACATCAACAGGTCAAARGGTACAAGGAGAATCAAAGTACAAGTGTCCGCTGAGCATCATGAAAACATATTACTAWAATAAAGTGAATTGCGGAAAAAAAAATCCCGATTATATTTTATATATAAGATATTAAGATATAATACAAATAAAATTAATATTGTATATTATTTTAAAAATTGCCTTTTACCTTTTATGCCTTATATTATATGTGAAAAAAATGCATGCATGTAGAATATATGTGGTTATATTACCTAGTCAGCCACGAATTTATAATAATAATAATTAAATATAAATTAAAATGTAACGTGATTATAATATTATCTATCTACGCGATTATAGGGTGCGTGGCATCTACTATCATAAATCGGAACTGAAACAAATAACAACTAGGTGGTAATAAATTGGTCAGTTGGGATTACATCTTGATTGCGTTTGAGTATAGATACTGTTGAAAATGCTGAAAGTTTTACCATCGTGGTATACATTTTATATAAGTACATATAATATAATACATGTATTATATATTTATATTATATTTACTATTTAGTAATATTATATTTTTAGAGCATAAGACCATTTTAAGTTTTTATAAAATAAAGATGTTTAACATAAAATACAATATTTATTTTATTTTTCATATAATATAAATTTATTTATAAAATAATATAATACTACCGGTATAATACTACTGGAGATTTTTATCCTAGTACAGGGGTTTTTTCCAACTACAAATAAAGTAAATCGATATTACAAAAATAACAGTTTACTTACTAGACAGATACAATGATCTTATATTTATTTATGTAACCAAGATTCAATTTCAGTTATTGTTAGTTGTATTGCCATCTCCGCTTCACCAACACGGTAATTTCTGGCACGTTTTGCATTAAAACTTTTAAGTATAGCGGTGCTGGCGAAACACTGATACAAAGCTATTTATTATTACCTACTAAATACCTACAAGGCTACAAAGACACAGTTAGTAGGTTTTAATAACGTAATGACTAATGTGTTATATTTTAAAAATTATAAGAAAAATTAAAAGTTATTCGTTGGTCACCACGTCACTTGATAACGGCTGAACCTTATTGATTTTGTTTTCAGTAAAATAACAAGGCAAACTAAAAATATAAACAGAAAAAATATAATAATTTTCGAAAATGTTTATGTTGATATCTAATGTTATCAATTTATTATAATTTTGATATACAGTTTCTTTAAAATTAATCATATGACAGTAAGGTACGAATATTGATGCTTTTATTATGTATCATAATTCATAGGCACATTCATCGAAAAAAACGTCTGTTGGAAGGGAAAGGGTTTATAGCAAAGATATTCATATTAATTTTACATAGCTGTAGATGAAAAATGTTTTTAAAATAAATCTTGAGGTTATGAACCACGAAATTCCAGTATGCGTGGCAATGTGTGCTAGTGGTACTGAAAAACGTTCCCGTACGATATTTTACCGTCCGGACGTCCGGTAACTATAATAATATATCGTTACCGGATTAGTTGCAAAACAACGACGGTAAAAATTACCGCACAAATAAAATATTAGTACGTGTACTAGCTTCAGACAACGCTAAGTGCTAATTTTACAAACGTTTTTTTCGTTTGTATAGATTAGTTTTGTTTCATTTTTTTTCTCATTAAGAGTACATTGCTGACTGCTGAGCAAGTTTTAAGCATTATTTCAATCCTATAAATTAGGGAGACCGATGGCTGACGGTTATTTAAACCAAAATATTGACACGACGAYACGTTCTGGATCGTTTACGTACATGACAATGCGGCATTGACTTGTACGTGCGGAAGCGTACCTGCACCACTWTAACGTTCCTTCACCACACGATGAGAAAATATCTTCTCTACATCGTGCTTCATCTATATTGCGAGAGGTCCGCGATAGATTGATTATCAATAGTGATATAGGTACCTACTATTCTAGGTATTACTATTACGGCACTACTACTAAAATTGCTCATTTTTCAATATTATTAGTATAGTATTCAATGTGTACTCCAAATCGTTATTTTACAAACATTTTTTTGGTGCATTTTCAACTTATGAGTTGAAAGATTTAAATTCCTTCACATAATCATCCAAATACCTACTTCAAATATTTTTTGTTCATTTTTCTCAGTAAATTTGTGAGTATCATCGATAATTATRCTTTATGGCATCCAAACCTCAATTGATATTAATAATAAATAATCGAGTTCAATTGTCTATAAAGTATTTGTACCATGTCCATCAATAAGGTATCATAGACCTTTTTTTATTGAAGTACACAGTTATATAGAAGCTAAATGTAAATAATAATAATATTGGATATATATAATAATATAATAATATGTATAATGGATATAATTAACACTATAGTGCTCCGAGGCGTAATATAAACCAACGACTAATCGCCCTACAGGTTACTATTATATAGAACGAACATGCTATAAGTATAGTAATATAAAATGCCTATTCAGCGTCTGCTGTWCTATAGTGTCAATGTTTGCTTGTWATCAACATAATACAGGGTGTGTTGTTTACATTCAACACTTCCCCTTAAACAATATACCCTAACTTAGAATTAATATCCAACATTCYCAACATCTCTCYGAGTTCCTGGAATCTTAGTCATGGAGTTGGCTTAGCCTATATGTCAGCCAACTGCTCCTTGCTTGGCACATACTCCAGAGGAAACATCCCTTCACTGAACTTCTCRCGAATGTAATGATAGCGAACATCGATGTGTTTTGCTTGCTTATGGTATTGTGGATTTTTCACAAGTTTGATGGCGCTTTGATTGTCTGCATAAAAACAGGTGTATCTCCCTGTCTTCTGAAGATCACTGATAAGTAGTGTCAACCAAGTAAATTCCTGTATCGAATGGCTTAGTGCTATGTATTCTGCCTCAGTAGTCGAAWGTGCTACCGATTTTTTCATTGTGAAYACCATGCTAAGATATATCATCTCCCATCATGAATATGAATCCTGATGTTGATCGTCTCGTTRSWGTGTCATCGGCATAATCGCGTTATTTTATCCACGCAACTATGGTATTACACTAGAATCATAAACTAAACCATAATTAAACATTTTAAATATTTAATTATACATTCTACTGCATTCCARTGAATTGTCAGAGGCTTTTYTAGATAATGACTGACAAGATTTACTGCAAACGTTATATAAARCCTTGTTATTTGACTTAGATACGATAAACTTCCAACCGATTCTCTGTAARGAATTTCCCCTACTTCCAATGATCCTGACAAATTTGGATCTAATGAGTGTTGTGGATCTGTGGAAATATGCAGGACGTTGGCTTCTTCTATATCTTCTCTAAAACGTGCTTTCAATATGAAGATTGGTGTATAAAAATTGAACCATCGGGTCTCTCA